CATTGGACTCCTTTGTTTACTTCCTGAACATAGTGACATTACTTTGTAAGACCCGCGCTTCTATTGGCTAGAACTCCAACACATTGTACGTGATAGGCTAAGGGGCGGGACATCTCTAAGCGGTTGACAAATCACAAAAGAGCCGGTCAGCTAACAAATTAGAGCAGACTGGGCTCTGGTTTCAGACAGAGGGTGAAAAGAGGTGCTGCAGCACAGGCAGTATGAGAAAAATAAAGAGCCTTTTGAACATTAAAGCATGGAGACATGTCACAGTAGAGGAACAACATACTGATATGAACCTAAAAATGAGCAGAATATGTCCTCTTTACGACATTGTGAACACACGGTGTAACTGCATCTCAACACATCCCTCTCTCTGTTTCCTTTTTGTTTTGTTTTCGGTGTTCAGGTGTGGCCTTCGAGCAGGGTAAGATCCTCCCCACCCCCGAGACCGTCCCCTTCAGACTGTCCAGAGACATCGTGGACGGGATGGGCATCACCGGAGTAGAGGGGGTCTTCAGGAGGTGAGGGGGACGACAGTTTGTAGATATTTAAAAACCAAGACCACTGAGAAATCATTCCTTTTTCATACATGTGTATTTCCATTGTAGTCGTCCTTCTAAGCTGCACATTGTCACAGAGTTAACTACAAACATGACATTTTCTACAAAGTACACACTTGACATTACTTGTATTTTTCTCAGATGTTGTGAGAAGACTATGGAGGTGATGAGGAACTCTCAAGAAGCTCTGGTGACTATTGTAGAGGTGAGATCACACACACACACACACACACACACCCACACACACCCACACACACACACACACACCCACATACCATGTATACATCACTTCAGGGGACATTACATTGACTTACATGCATTTCCTGGAGACTTATCCTAACCTTAACCATAACCAACACATGCCTAACCCTAAACCTAACCCTAAACCTAAACCTAAACCTAAACCTAAACCTAATCCTAACTCTAATCCTAAACCTAACCAAGTCTTCACCCTAAAATTAATGGGGACCTCCAATTTGTCCCCATAAGGGAGGCGAGTCCCCACACGTGACTGTGTAAACAGATGTAGGTCCCCACAAGTATAGTAATGCTAGGACACACACAAACACACACACACACACACAGACACACACAGACACACACACACACACACACACACACACACACACACACACACACACACACACACACACACACACACAAACCTCTTGTTGTAAAAGGCTGCAGGAGCTTGTTTACCACAGTTTTCTTTGGCATATACTAATCAACCCGTCACCCCCTTTCAGCAAACAATCAAGATGACAAGATCCCCTCTTCCTGACCTCTTGCACCTCTCTGATGTTTAGCGTTGCCTCTGTGTCTATGTGCTGTTCAGGTGCTGCTGTACGACCCTCTGTTCGACTGGACCATGAACCCTCTGAAGGCGTTCTACCTGCAGCACGACGAGCAGCAGGAGCTCAACGCCACGCTCAGCTCCACCATGGGGAGGGAGGACATGGACAACTCCCGGAAGTCCCGGTGAATAGAACAATATAGAAATAATAAGAATACGATGGGTGGCATGGGAAAGGGATTCCCTATATATATATTTTTTTTCTTTCTTTGTCTTTTATTTTTATTTTTGTATTGTCTATATAATTTGTATCTGTATAAGTCCCTTTTGTGAGGGCAAAAAAAGAAAAAGTTGGTCACAAAAAAAGAAAGAATACGAATAAGAAATACTAATGGCGCGTTTCCACTGCAGGCCTCGCTCGGCCTCGTTCGGTTTGGTTAGGCCTTATTAGGCCCGGCTCACTTTAATGCTGCGCTTCCATTATAGTTTAGGAACTGGGGTAGTTACTATAGTAACGCAGTGTAGGCGGAGCCGTGACGTCATTTTCTATGAGCGCCCCAGAAAAACAGCCGTTAGCTCTTAGCACTCAGAGCTCACAGCTCCTCATATCTGTTCAGAAACTAGACAAAAGTTAAACAAGTACAAACCACAGACTGCCTGTGTCATGGAGAATACAGTCGCTGGTTTATTTATGTCTGTATAGGCCGTTGTTGTGAGTGTGGACGGTCGGAGCATATATAACATTAGCTTAGCCAAGCTACATTTAGAAAACACGCATTTTAAAAGGGTTTTTCGCCTGCCGTCTGTCTGCAGACTTGTCAAAGCATTAATTCATGGTTTTTACTAACCGGTATCAGTATGTTGTTACTTCGGCATCATTTTGAAACGTGTATTACAATTAAATCACGGTCAAATATGTTCATCTTGTTGTAGTTGTAGCCCCCTTGCCAGCGAATCTCTCTCTAGTTTAGCATACTCAGCCCGACTCAGCCTGGTTGTTCCTGGCCCTAGAACCACGATTTTGTCGGCAAGAAAAAAGGTGAAAAAGTAGCCCCGGGCCAAAACTAGGCCAAGTGGAAACGCAACCAAAAACGGGCCCCGCACGGCTCGGCACGCTTAAAGCGAGCTACCCGCTGCAGTGGAAACGCACCATAAAAGACCAAAGCTAATCCAATGGAAAAGAAAAGAGTTTTTAGCTGTGATTTAAAAATGTCTGATTTCAGAGTTAAAAAGCTGATGAGAGCAGATTTTGAATTCCAAATGTCGATCTCTTACAGCAGTGGTTCTCAAACTTTTCTGGCATTCCCCACTTTGAACAGGTGGGGCTTGAAAAGGCCCACCTGTTCCTCGCCGCTCCAATTAAATGGTAGGCCAAGCTTAAAATGGTCAAATGTTTCGTCAAAACGTCCTATAACAGGGGTCTCCAACCTTTTTTAGGATGAGAGCTACTTTCAAAAAAATTAAACAAGTCGTGAGCTACTTTTACTCCTCTTTTTCAGTTTTTTTGCTGTGTATATATTTAGCACATTTTAACATTATTATATGCTTACCTTTAACCTTTGTGTGCTGTTTGGGTCTGTGGGACCCGTTTTCAGTGAAAAGAAAATGTATGATTTTTTTTTTAAATGTTGAAGTTAAATGCACACAATGAGAGATTTTTTACATACGTCTGCAAATGACTTTGGTTTCAGTTGTGTGTGTGTGAGCAGGCTCGGATTGGCCATCAGGAGATTCGGGACTTTTCCCGTTGGGCCGCTGCCGTTGGTGGGCCGCTGGCTCTGGCATAGGTGGGCCGTGGACTTTCACAGCGCCGCTGCGCCGGTACCGCATCCGCCGGCGCAAACACCCGCCGTTGCGAGGCTCTGGCGGCTCCGGCAGGTCCGGTACAGCGGTGCTGTGAAAGTCCACCGCCGTTGCGAGTCTCCGGCTGTAATAATCCACTACCGCCCGCGAGGACCCAGGTTCGATTCCGGCCTGAGGTCCAAAATATATATTTTTTTAAATAAAAAAAGATAATCTCCCGTTCATCGCGTCCATTCGCGACCCACCTATCACATCTCTGCGCCCCACCAGTGGGGCGCGCCCCACACTTTGAGAAACGCTGCCTTACAGTGATGTTTTATTTGGTTTCTCTCTCTCTCCCTCCTGCAGCGACAGTCAGAGCTACAACAAGGTGGCGGAGCGGGTGCTGCTGAGGCTGCAGGAGAAGCTGAAGGGGGTGGAGGGGGGCACAGTGCTCAGTGTGGGGGGGCAGGTCAACCTGCTCATCCAACAGGCCATGGACCCCAAAAACCTCAGCAGACTCTTCTCCGGCTGGCAGGCCTGGGTGTAGCCGGAGAGGAACGATGGGAGAACGGACATTTTGTGTTTCTGATGATGAGTTTCTTTCTCTGCTTGTGCCAAAGAAACTCCCTTTTTAAGAAGTCAAACTATTTAGAAATGTCTAGATTGCAGCTGATGTTACTCTGCATCTTTTCTTTTTGTTAAAGGCATAATATCAGCACTGGGCAGAAACCCCCCAAACCTACGGAGAGGATTAGAGCCACGTGTGAATTTCTTTTTGAGATCTGACCAAATGTTTTTTTTTTTTTTTTTGTGAAAGTCAGGAGAAATAGATTGGCATTCTTTTTTTTTTCTTTCATTCTAATATTAAAAACTGAATTCTGACTTTTTTCTGAATTCTGACATTTTGACCTTGAACTCTGAAAAAATCTGAGAAATCAAAATCTGACTTTTTTTTCAGATTTATGGAACTTTCATTAAAAAAACTCAAATTGTATTTTTCTCACAATTCTGAATATTTTCTCAGAACTGAAAAAAAAAAATGCACCTTTGGTCTCAACTCAAAAACAAATTCACATGTGGCCCTAATCCTCTTTTATACACAATATTTATAGCAACACATTTTTATAGAATAATAAATGTCTGTTTACCTTTGCACTTTAACAGAACATCAAAATAAACCATAAATGCTTCAATAATCTGACCAAATCTAGAGGGAATTCACCAAGGCCTAAGAAGTGTATGATTAAGGTGAATTAGTTTTTACCCCATGGGGTGTGATTGTTTTCATACTGTTGACTGTAGTAGGACGTTTTGCCAGTGCCTAACAAATCACTTTACGTTGACTACATGCCTTATGAATGTATGATGCCTTATCCAGCTGGGATTTAGTTCAGCTCCTTTTTACTATTCATTTAGTGAAATGATTATATGCTGTATGGAGTATCTCTAGGGCAACCATAAATATATATACATGTGTAAGTGAAATCTCAAATGTTTAAAAGCAACTTTATTATACTTTTTATTACGTCCATGTTGTGCAAAAAAAGCTTTAACATGATCTCTGTGTAATTAAATAAATGATTAAACAGAATTAAATATATTTTCTTGGTTTAAATTGGATCTGAAAAGTGAATTGAACCGACTGTTTATTCACAGATCGTACCTCTCTGCATTTCTCTGGTAGTGTGTTCCTCTGCAGTGCATTACCTTTCCACTGCGTACTGATCAGATAACACCCATTGAGACGAGGGACGCTGCTCATTGTGTCCGGTGTGTGCTCAGGAGGGACACTTCAAACCCATGAAGTGTGAGGAGTGGCCTCTCTGAACATCACACACACTCCTTGTGTTAATCGCCGTGGGGTAAAAACTCAAAGCAGATTAGGAGGAAAGCAAGAGGAGAGGCTAGAGATCTGAAATACATCGTTCTCCTAGCTTCAATTAGATTTCCCAGATTATCTACATCCAATTTCCCCAGGAAGATATTTGTCCTGCTGCACGGCAGTTACTGCCTTTTATAAATCATTAGAAGATTTTGTTACAAAAAATTAAGATGACGACCAGTCCGGTAAGTTTTCATTTAATTCATATAAGTTTAAAGAGCTTTTCAAGAATATAAATGCACATAAGAAAGTCTTATTCATACTATAATAACTTATTATATGTCTACGATAATGTAGAACATACCGATACATGTACCTTCAGGACTTTTTATTTAGCTCAAATTAATCTATTTAAAGATGAAAAGTTAACATTTTTAAAGGGGCCCTATTCTGTTCATTCTCAGGTTCATATTAGTGCCTCTACTGTGACATGAGTACATGCTTTAATGTTCAAAAAGCTCTTTATTTTCCTCACACTGCCTGTGATCTTTCTCTCATCACATATGTGTTTTTCTGTCAGTACCTGGACTCTGGTTCTTGTTTTATTGGTGAAGATGTGGAGAGGAACCTCCCTCCAGCCGATGGATCAGATGTTCAGCCGCAGTACGTTCATCATATGGCCCCCAAGCCTCCGCCTGAGATCAGTTCCAAACACGAAGGTAGGGCTGACTCCTGTTCTGTAATGTGGTTTTCATATTACTTTTATAATATCAACGGAATAAAGAAATAGTAAAAAAAAAATACCATTTATGTTACAAAAACAAAAAGTGATACACTCAAAACTTCCTTTTTTGATTTTGATAATGAGGACTGCCATCTTCTTACAAAGGACTTACTTATTATCAACTGCATACAACAGTACTTTCATAGAGATACTCTCATATAATGGTTTAATATACAGAACAATACGCATGTGTTATATGTTAATACCAATGTGTATCACCCTGCTTGACAAAAGTGCTTTTATTAAATCCTCTTAACATTATTTGATAAAAAGATTAAATAAAAAATACACGTGTTTTGCTAAATATGACACTTTTTTACAAAGATGCATTCACATAGTTGTTTATATAAAGGGAAAATACAGATTTAGTTTATTTTATAATTCAGTAAAATCAACTTGGCTTAAAATGCACGTGTAAAACACATGTAAGAAGTGTGTGTGTGTGTGTGTGTGTGTGTGTGTGTGTGTGTGTGTGTGTGTGTGTGTGTGTGTGTGTGTGTGTGTGTGTGTGTGTGTGTGTGTGTGTGTGTGTGTGTGTGTGTGTGTGTGTGTGTGTGTGTGTGTGTGTGTGTGTGTGTGTGTGGAAACACTTCTCAGCTACTTAAAGGCTAATCATTAAAGACACTTTAGAAGGTCATGATGAAATAGCAGTTTTCTGGTGTTTGACTTTTAAACCAATAATCTATCGATATTTACATGGATAACAAGTTATAATGTAAAAAAATGGACAGACAATGGAAGAATAAGACTTTTTTGTTTTGCTTAAATGAAGATAAAATAGAAAGTATTTGACGGGAGAAGACTATTTTTGTATTTACTATGAGGAAACAACACAAGACAAGTGTGTGTGTGTGTGTGTGTTCTCCTGTCAGGTGTGAAACAGAGGTGTGTGAAGTTCACTGTGGCCGCTGTAATCTGCCTGCTGCTGCTCACACTGATCACTGGGATCCTCCTGGTTTATTACTGTGAGTAATACCGTGTATACACACTGTTATAACAAGTCTATTGAACTTTTTAAATCTCTGCTAAAAACTCACCTCTTTGCACTGGCGTTTAATACTAGTTGACCATGACATTTTGACATTTCTATATGTTTCTAGTTATTGTTTTTAATTATTGTTTTATTATCTTACTCCTATTGTGTTATTATATATTGTATTTGTTCCCTGTACAGCACTTTGGTCAACTGAGGTTGTTTTAAAGGTCCCCTATTATACTGTTTTTCATCAATATATTATAGGTCTCAGATAAATACAAAACATATCGCTGAAGTGTTTGGCTCCAAACACCAAACAGATCATTGCAGCATTACCCATAATCCCCTCTGTTTCAGCCCTGTTTCAAAAGTGCTGATTCTCTGTCTGTTACTTTAGATGAAAATAAGGAGCCCCTCCCCACGCCCCCCTGGGAGATGTTTGGTTACAAAGAACACAATGGTGCTCTAGGAGGAGATTCAGGTGATAAGGTGTGGGGGGGGGGGGGGGGGGGGGGGGTTACCTTGGTTGCTGATTGGCTACTGGTTACACAAGCCAACATTTTTTAATGACATCATAAAGTGGCCAAAATCTGATCAGCTCAATTTCAGACAGGTTTTTATAGAAATGGATCAGGACAAAAAGAGAGAGAATCTTTGTTCCTGAGACTTTCAGAATCTCTTTACACAGAGGGGACACATGTTGATGTAGAAGAGACATGAAAAAGTGGATTTTGCATAATAGGTGACCTTTAAGTGTGCTATATAAATGAATAAAGGTTGGGATTGAGATCATGTGCTGCTACGTCCTCTCTGTGAATGAACCTCGCCCTGTGGCCCTCAGTCTCGTCGCCCTGCGCCCACGGGAGGCGCTGTGGAGACGGCAGCTGTGTGTGGGAGTCTCAGTGGTGTGACGGAGAGAAGGACTGTCCGGCAGGCCAGGACGAAGCAAGCTGTGGTAAACAAACTCCTTTAAACAAAAGAACAAACAAAGCATTGTTCTGAGCTTCCTGTTGAAATACAGTTTCTTTATAGGGCTTTTATTTTGAAAGAGTTCAGGAATAAGATGGGGAGAGAGACAGGAAAAGGCCCTTATATCAAAACATTATAAGTATCTTAACAATATATTTCCTATCAAACTGTAACTCAAAATACTTCTGTAAATAGCTCTATCAATTAAAGTAGTTGTTAATGCTTTTGTTTTGAAGGCAGCTCTGGCAACAGGGGATTTTATATTGATTGGAAACAACCAACAAGCTCCTGCAGCCTTTTACAACAAGAGGTGGAAGAAGTACTCAAATATCATACCTGGGTTTAGTCCCTCACTCTCTCTCTCTGTGTGTGTGTGTGTGTGTGTGTGTGTGTGATGTGTGTGTGTGTGTGTGTGTGGTGTGTGTGTGTGTGTGTGTGTGTGTGTGTGTGTGTGTGTGTGTGTGTGTGTGTGTGTGTGTGTGTGTGTGTGTGTGTGTGTGTGTGTGTGTGTGTGTGTGTGTGTGTGTGTGTGTGTGTGTGTGTGTGTGTGTGTGTGTGTGTGTGTGTGTGGTGTGTGTGTGTGTGTGTGTGTGTGTGTGTGTGTGTGTGTGTGTGTGTGTGTGTGTGTGTGTGTGTGTGTGTGTGTGTGTGTGTGCGCCGTGCGGCTGCATGGCTCCAGCTTCCTGCTGCAGGTCTACTGGACTCAGGGTAGAACCTGGAGGAGTGTTTGTTCTCAGGACTGGAGCGAGCAGCAGGGCAGAGCCAGCTGCCAGCAGGTCGGATACAGCAGGTATGTTTGTTTTTAAAAACTTATTTTCAGGTTCAGTAACTTTGAACATATTCAAACTTTTGCCTACTGGTTTGAATACCGTATGTTGCTCAGCCAGGTTTTAATATAGAAGCTTAAACAGTTTTTATTGACATGTAAAGGACTATTGTGTTTAATATGTTCTGTTCTGTGCTTTAATAGGGACACATATTTTGAATCAGGCCAACAGCCGACTGACGCTGATGATGGATTCCTGATATTAAAGTCTGACTTCAACACTACAGCACCCATAATGCATCAGCTCGTGCTCAGGTTAGTGAACTGGTGGAGATGAACTCAGATAAAGTTGTACATTTTGAATCAAAATGGACCTAATAACACATAAAATGTCTTCTTTTTTTTGCCAACTGCAGCAAAACCTGTCACAACAACAGCGTGGTGACGTTGCATTGCACTGGTATGTTATTACTGTTTCTAATATACCGGTGCATAAGTCGGTACATGTAAAGGATGACATATACAAATATACATTGCTGAAACTAAAGCCTTTGAAGTTTTATTATAAATTATTGTATCTGTTATACTGATAGAATAAAGGTTCTGTGTGACCCCTGCAGCAGTGAATGTATCCTCTCTAACAGCTCTTTCCTCCTCAGACTGTGGGAGGGGGCTAAACTCCAGCAGGGCCTCGGGGGAGCAGCAGGCCCCTCCCTGGCAGGTCAGCCTGAGGGTGGGGGTGTCCCACCGCTGTGGAGGAGCCATCATCTCCCCCTACTGGATCCTCACTGCAGCACACTGTGTCACATGGTGAGGCCTTTTTATTCTTAAAGGGGCCCATAGGCCTATTTTCAGGTCTGCTCTGATTGGTTAACTGGCCAGCATGTCACATGTCAACAACAAACATAAATGCAATTAGGTAAACAAGAAAAAAACGACCTAAATGTTTTCTTAAGTGCAGTATTGATGTTGTTTTTTGAATTCTGAAGCACTTAAAGGTGGGGTAGGTAAGTTTGAGAAACCGGCTCGAGTGCACTAACATTTGAAAGTACACAGCCGAAAATAATCCGCCCCTTCCTTCAGACTTCCTTGGTTGTACTTTTTACAGTACCACGGCTTCCACAGATGAAATTGTTTTATGGATTTTTTGTCAAAGCACTTAATATATTCATTGCTATCGGGATGTTAAGAGCATTCCATGGAATATAACAAAAAGTGTATCTCGAGCCGGTTTCTGAAACTTACCTACCCCACCTTTAAGTGCTTTGACAAAAAATCCATACAAAAATGTCATCTGTGGAAGCCGTAGTACTGTAAAAAGCACGACCAATCATCTGAGCCGGCCCGGCTAAAATAACTGGATGGCCTACCTGCCTGTCAGCCTTCCACCTGAGCACAAACTTATCTCGTGCCCTCATTGGTCATGTGCGCGTTCGTGTGTGTTTGGAGGAGGGGCTCTGTTAGGAAGTCTGAAGGAAGTGGCAGATTTTTTCCGGCTGTGTATTTTCAAATTCTAGCGCACTAGAGCTGGTTTCTCCAAAATTACCTAGCCTACCTTTAATGTTACCTTCTGTGTATAAAAAGTGCTTTATAGATAAAGTTTGATTTGAATCTCTGCTGTCGCTCCCCTAAAGGACCTCGGGTGCTGCAGAGTGGTTGGTGTATGTTGGAGTCGTGCATCTTTCAGACACTCTGTTCAACCCGGCTTACTCTGTGAGCCGCATCATAACCCACGAAGGCTTCAACAGCATCACCCGCGGCAACGACATCGCTCTGATGAGGCTCTCCAAACCCCTGCACATCACAGGTGCTTATAGGGAACTAACACTAGATGAACACACACAGGGGGGTACATGCAGTGCTGATCATTTACAGAAAGCTAATTGAATCACATTAAAATGTTTACTTTAATGAACTTGGAGATAAACTCCCTCTTGAGAGAACACAGGGATGTTAGCCTTTGCAGACCAATTACATGCACAAAAACCTATATGTAAGGAAGACCACCAAAAGCATAACTGGGCCTCTTTAACTTGTATCGGAGTGTCTATAATTTTATTTTGTGGAAACCAGGTGATAATGCATGCTGTGTTCAGGTTAATGCATGCTGTGTTCATATTTATGGATTAAAAGACTCATCAAAATGATTTTTAACAACAGAGATATCCTTTTTTCTCTTGTAGCCTCCAGTGATATCGGAGCTGTGTGCCTTCCAAACGTTGGTGTTTACGCCTCTGCTCCTGAGAAAGGCTGGATAACAGAATTTAGTCGCTTCGTAAACACAGGTGAGACATTTTGTACTTTTACAATTTATAATTGCTACATTTACTTTTACTTGCTGCTTCCATTATTGTGAGCTACCACTGGATGGCGCTAAAGTCTTTACTATTCCTCATTCTGCACTCACTGTCCTGTTGAAATGTGCATAGAAGAAGTTCCTAAATACATATTGTTTTCCTAAGTTATAGTAGCAATACAGTGCAGAACAGAAATACTCAGTTACACTCTGAATTTCCTGGTTGTTGAAATGTACTTTATAAATAAACGTACCTTGCCTTACAAGTAAATGTAATATGTTCAAATGTTGTAAGTAAATGTACTTATGTCTTACTTTTGAGAGGACACATTAAGCTTATTTTCAGGTTCATATTTGTATTTTTTGCCTCTACTGCGACATGTCTCCATGCTTTAATGTTCAAAAAAGTCTTTACTATTGTTCTCCCAGTCTGCTCTGATTGGTTAGATCAGGGGTGTCAAACTCAAATACACAGTGGGCCAAAATTATAAAATGGGTACTAGTCGAGGGCCGGACTGGTTCAATGTTTATTGCAAAACGTATTGAAATGAACTTATTGCACATATTAAACCTGGAACTAACAAAGCTTAAATTATTGGCTATAAAAACAACATTAAACATTAAATAATCAGCTGCATTCATTTCTTATGGCTCTATCTGCAGCTTTTCCAAAGTCATTTCTTATGATCACATTTTTCCACAGGCTAACAACAGCTTCAAAAAAACTATTTCCCTCAAAGAAAAAACAAACATGCCCTGTTGTCGGGAGAAACAAAGTGCAGAAGGAAACATCCATTGAAACTCAGTGATGCTCGTTCAAGCCAGATACTTGGCATCTCATCTTGGGTGCAAGGTCATCAATGTTTGGGCTCAGGCTCTGAGCTGAGGAAACCCTCAGGATTGAGTGAAGGTGTGCGTGTAATATACCGGCGGGCCAGATCTAATAGTAATTAGAAATTATCCTGCGGGCCGAAGTTAAATCCACCAAGCGCCTGATTTGGCCCCCGGGCCTTGAGTTTAACACATGTGGGTTAGATGGTTAGCTGGCTCTGTTGTTATTGGTTGGAGATGTTCCTCATCCTATCACATGCAGTGCTCTGGAGCTCTAGCCAATAGAAGCGTGAGTGTCACTTAGTGATGTATATATTCCGGACGTAAACAAAGGAATATAATGGAGGCGTTTCAGGCAGGGTGTGTGAGAGAGAAACTCTCTCTGGGGGGATTTTATCCTCTGCGGACCATATACAGTACATGCACAGAAACCTATATAACACACAACAGGGAAGTGAAAAACCCCAGAAAGCAGAATATTTCCTCTCTAACGTCTCGTTTGCTCTGACAGCCGCGCCTCACCTGATGGAGGCTCAGGTTTTACTTGTTGACGCTGCAAACTGTAACCGCTCCACCTCTCACAGCGGGAAGATAACCCCGGACATATTCTGTGCCTCAGCAACGGATGCAGGAATGTGCCACGTAAGAAAAACACACTTTCCTTTCTCATAGAGGTGTGGGAAATTAAATATATATGTATATGTTATAGTTTATATATTCATTTATATATTAATTATGATATGATGATTATGATTTTGTGTGGAAATACATTAATATTATTTTATTGATCTATTCTTAATTTAGTATTTTTCAGTAATCAGTATTCTAATTTATTCAGTATTTTTTATTGTATGTATTCTTTAGATGCTTAATGTATATACTGTATATATTCTCTACTGTTGATATTTATATATTTCCTGTTTTTGTTTATTTGATTGTATTTGTATTATATTCTTAACTCGTGTGTGTGATACCCGTTTACTTTCTGCTGCTGTGCCAAAACTATTTCCCAATTTGGGATGAATAAATGATATCACATTTTGTATCAATGAAGACATGATACACACACAAAGACATTTCACAAAATGCAGTTTATTTGATTTGTACAGGAAGTCCCAGACGGTTGCATTGTGATTGCCGCGGGGTTAATATGTTGAGGCGTTAGCTGTAAATACATTCTTTAAATAAACCCGAGTGATCCTGTGGCAATGTACTCCGAGCGAAGAGAAACAAACGCTCTTTATAATCTCATATTTTCCGGCACAATTCCATTTTTCTTTCACAAATTGCACTTCCTGTTCTTCAAAGAGGCCGATGCATTCCCATGCTCTTGGGTAACAAGCTTCGAGGCTCCGTCAAACAAGACGTGCATTATGTTGTGGTCATGGTAACAGCTTTAGAAAAACAGTTACACACACACTCAAAACAAACCGCTCATACACTCGAATCAACAATGAATGTAAAGTCAGAGTGCTGAGGTGGCAGCTGACCATGATATCATGTTTCATTTATACTCCTGAGAAAGCCTTGGAAGACGGCTCTAAAGAGGCTCTTTTAAGCTAAAAGCTCACCTCTTTTCACCCTCTGTCTGAAACCAGAGCTCCGTCTGCTCTGATTGGTTAGCTGGCCGGCTCTGTTGTGATTGTTCAACCGCTTAGAGATGTCCCGCCCCTTAGCCTATCACGTACAATGTGTTGGAGCGCTAGCAAATAGAAACACGAGTGTTAGAGTGATGTCACTATGTTCAGCAAGTAAACAAAGGAGTCCAATGGAGGTGCTTTAGGCAGTGGGGGGGGAGGGAAAGTGTGTGGGAGAGAAACTTCCACTGAAGGAAACACAGGGATTTTAGTCTTTGCAGACCATTAACATGCACAATAAACTAACACACTACAGGAAAGGGAAAACCTAAAAAAGCATAAAAGGGCCCCTTAAAGTATATTTTGATGATTTGTACTTTACTTGATTATAATTTTAAATGCAGGACTTTTACTTGAGTGTTTTTACAGTGTAGTATTGCTGCTTTTACTTAAGTAGAATATCGTGTTCTAGCACTTATCTATAGTTTATAAAAATATCCCTTGTGTTTCGTCTCAGACTGACAGCGGTGGCCCTCTGGTGTCCCTGAAGGACGGAGTATGGTGGCTCATAGGGGACAATATTTGGGGGGAACACTGCAAAGAGCCGAACAGACCAGGAGTTTATGGCAACGTCACGTACTTCCTGGACTGGATTTATCATCAGATGAAGGTAAAAAAACAACATATATTTCTAAAAGCCCTGAGCCTGTTTTTCGAAAATGACATTCCCGGAACAAATGACGATATCTTCCCTTTTTAAAAGGGGTAAATGCATAATCTTTTGGATGTAAAAAAACCAGAATCAATATAGATTTTTGAATTTGAATGTAAATTCAGATTGAACATAGTAAAAAAAATTAAATTATAGTGTCCGTCCAAACATTTTTTTTAATTTATAGTGAAAACCACGCTTGAATGATGGGATGGGAGACTAAAAGCTTTAGGAATCCAAACTATAACATATAATAAGTACCCTGTATCAAGATTGATGCAAAACAAGTGACATTTGACCTTTTTAGAGAGATTTAGAAAAATAAACTCCACCTCTGGGGTCATTTGGGTGCATTTTCCATATCTCTGGCCCCCCTCGGTCGATTTTGATGATTGACATATCTTTTTAACTGTTAGAGCCAATAGAATCGAGGGGAAGTTCCTAAAATCCATCTAAACATTACCCATTGGTGAATAAGTGCTGAGCAGCCTGAATGCCCCGGAACCGGAAGCTGCAATACTGGCTACCATAGCAGCTAATATTAATTCTCCGATTTTTACATAAAAAATTACACATTAGATTAATCCAGAGCCTTCGTATCTCTAGGGCTCTGGATTAACCTATGGATTAACCTTTAGCAGCGTTTTTATCGTTTTAATGCCATTGAACACGACTTTTGATCAGAAACCAACAGCCAAGGTAAGAGATGTCCCGTGAATGCTCTGTGATGCTACGTGTTGTGATGTCTGTGTTTGCTTCCCCTGTCGCGAGTTCTGATCGCTCAGTGATGATACCAATACCTATAGAATCTGTGTAATCTTAGCTTTAATCAGATATCTTGTATGTGCAGTTACGATAAGTAATAAGGGTATTTTTACCTTGAGTTATGTGCTAAATGCGTTTTTTTTCGCTCAGGGTTAATTCAGACGCTTATTGTGAGACTTGTGCTTTGTTTCGGTAAAAATGGTTCACATCTTCAGTTAGCTGAGTTTCTAACCGTTAAGTGAGTATGACACATTAATAGATTTTTAAATATTAAGAAGCCCTGAGACACAGTTTCGTGAAAAAACTACCCGCCCAGACCAGGATTAGGGGCCCTCTCGGGTTTAACAGGTTTTAAAACAAATATCAGAATCCACTAAATGCTCCGTGTTCTGTTTGTCTAATCTACAGGGCTAATGTCTACATTTTGTATTCTCAATACAAGCAGAGTTTATATATGTGTTACTAATCTTTATTGGGACTGTAAAACAACTTTATCCCTACTGGAACTTATTTTTAAATATATTTGTTCCTCAACAGAAGCATCAAGATGGCTGATCACGGAACCAACGATGAACCATTTGAGATGAATTTTTGTGCAGAGAAACTTTTTTTAATCAATGTCTTAATATGTGTATCAGAAATATAACTTATTGCTGTTCTTTCATAATATTAATGCAGAATGTTTTTGCTCTATACATGTAAGAAGCTCAAATTAACAATGTGTTATCATTTCTTTCTTCTATTTTGTCTTTAATTAACAGTTATTATGTTTGTTCGATTTTTATATATTTTTGTGAATTTTGAATATTTGTTTTTTGTGTAAATATGTTTTCCTTTACTTAAAGGTCCCATGTCATGCTTTTCTGGTTATTACCCGTCCCCTTGTGTGTTATGTAGCTTTTTATGCATGTAAACGGTCTGCAAAGTCACAAACCCTCAAAGTACACCCTGTAGCGAGTACAACTCTAACACAGAAAGGTGCTAGTGGAGCCTCTCAGCGGCGAAACTGTGGCACGCGTACACTATAGGTGCGCCGCGTTTGGGGGTGCGGGTGCTAGTGGAGCCTCGCAGATGGGGGTGCTGCAGCCCCCTCAGCATCCCCTCCTTCCCGCGTCCATTCGCGATGTCTCGCTGTCTCGCAGACCCCACGCAGCAAGCAGGAAATGAACCCAGCTCACACTGTCCGTAGAAATGTAGTAGTAGAAATGGCCATGACATGGGACCTTTAATATGTATGTTAGCCATTAAATGTAAAAACCACAAGATTTCTCTCACAAGTCACATCAAACTTGTCCCCACTGTCTCCTAAAGGATGCTTTTGTTCTTGATTTTTCTCACAAAGACATCTTTATTCATTTATTACATTACATTTTTGATTTGGTCACAAGTTTTTGCGGCACAAGCAGGATTTTGGCACCAAAGATATCACTTATAAATAAGCCAACATTCAAAGACAACTTTGAATTTTGAAAGACATTGAGATCTACTGTAGCATGCGTCATATTTACTCATTAAAGTATACGTATGACCTGTCACTAGTGTAAAATGACACCTAATGTTTTATTGCTCACATCAGCACAGCTAATCGTAGTCCACTGAAGGAGTGTGTGTTTGTGTCATATTCAAAAATAATGTTGCCTCTAATTGTAGTGTTTGTATAAAATAGAAATGCAATATAAATACCTACAGAAGTGTCTAAAAATTAACGATTTGGGATTACAATACAATCACATTTAAATAAACGTAGACAGAATTAGTAGTACAATTACATTAATACATTAAATTGCATAACAGATCAAAAAATATTGATCTCTAGTTTCATTATACACTTTTGATTGACTTAAGAAACAAAGTGCATTTCAGCAGATGACGTCTCCAACAGCTGATTGTGTGTATCTGCAGCCGTTTCTCAATGTCGAGTATACCTGCTGCAGAGCCACTATTTCAAGTATACTACGTCATCGAGTGGCGCCGAATGCTGGGCATTTAACATGCATTTAAACAGTCCTTCGGCGCCACTCGATGACGTAGTATACTTGAAATAGTGGCTCTGCAGCAGGTTTACTCGACATTGAGAAACGGCCAGTGTGTCAGCAGAGAGACTCAAAGGCACTACAGGATCTGTAAACGTGTGAACAAATATTCTTCTAATAACAGTGATCATTTGAGCAGCTTTTCTCAACTCCAACACACACAGGCAGGCTTTCAATTTAACCTAACTTCAAAATAGAGTGGTCCGTATAGACGGAAATGGGTCAGCATTTCACCACCCTCCGCTTTACTCAAAGTCACAACCATCGACAAAACAGCTGTTGCTAACAAGTGTCTAAATGAGACGACTAAACGTCATCACACCGAACATTAGCCGCCTTTAGCTTAGTGATGTGAAGTCATATGACCGTGCTGTAGTTCCTTTATAGCCTAGTGTTAGCTTTTTACTTCAGAAATCATAAAGTGGAGTTAATATTTCTGCAAAATCCAAAGAAAAATCGAACTGCTTTTTGTAGAGGGAGCCCTTTGCCATGCTAACTTCTTGGACGGCCTACAAAAAAAACATAATTCCTGCACCACTTTATAGAAGAAGGCACCAGGAGCATTCCTTCATTGATCACACACTGTAGTAAATCAGACTGACATTGTCAGGTCGTGCATTTAGACATTAATAAAACACTGTTTGCCTAAAGAGAAAAAATCAGTAGTTATAAAATTGTTCAAAATGCATCAATTGTTAGTAAGCATCTTGTGATTGTCTGTGAGGAGGATGTCCTACATTTCCCAGAATACCTTTTGAGAGGTCTCAAGAAAAAAAGCATGAGTTTGATTTTAGTGCTCTCTCAAACTACACTCAAATTGAGTCAGTGTAGTTGCAATACTGATAGCAAACAAGAGTTTCCAGGTGAGAAAAAGCAACTCATACCCATCAGTAAAAACTGTCCTGTAGCTACAAACGCTATGAACTTTTAAAGCTGCAGTCGCTGTATAAATTGCATATTTTCTTTGTCACATATGACATGTTGTGAGAACAAGAAAGAGGCACCATCAAAGAAGACATTTGAACCATGAAGACCACAACAGCTGTTTTTAAGGCAATGTTTTTAAGGCAATGTTTTTGTGGTGGATTTTCCCGTCAGGGGTCAGTTTATCTGTCTGTGTACCTCCATGGGGTAAAACTGAAGAGTGCAGTTTAGTGTCAGTCAGGCTTTCGGCAGCGAGCGTCACAACTTTCTCCGCCTCCGTGGATTGTGTGTGTCGCTCGCTGCTCCTCGGCCCGTTCCCTCTCAGTCACTTGATGCGGTGTCGGACCAGCGAGGACTCGTCGGTGATCTCCCCTGAGCGCGCTCTGCAGCGGCAGGGCAGCACCAGCAGCAGCAGCAGCACCACGAGGATCACCGCGCACACCGCCATCAGGGCGTAGGAGATCATCCAGAGGAGGGGCTCCTTCTGAGGGCCCCACGGAGCAGTTAGACGCCACGTCTGCTGCTGAGAAGGGCCCCGCGATCTCTGAGAGGGCCACCCCCCCTCTCACTGAGGAGGAACACAGGATAGGAAAGTGTTAAAGCCCCTATTCTTCTTTTGGGGTGTTCCCTTTCCTGTAGTGTGTCCTATAGGTTTGTGATGTAAATGGTCTGCAAATGCTCAAATCCCAAAGTTCCCTCCAGAGGGAGTTTTTCTCCGAGGCACTCCTCCCAAAGTCTGTCATAAATGTCATCCAGTTTTAAGACTGTAATGATTTAAGTCTTTTACATTTTCATAGAAACAAGCTGAGGAAATGTTAGCACAACTCCAACCCCTTTGAAACATCAGTTGCATGAGCCGCGTCCCAAAAACACAGATTTGTTTTATGTGAAACTGCTTTATTCAGTGTTTTTACATTAATCTTAACCGGGAGAAGCTGAGTCCAATGGCGGTTAAGACAAAAATTCCCATGCTTCTTCCTGATGCCCCCAGACTCTGACTATTGCACTATATAATTAGTACAATTTCAGTCCTAAATACAGTTAAACAAATGTATCTCTCAAACATGTACTGCATACATATCGTTTTTGTAAAACTAAATGAATCACATGATACTTGTGGTAGCTTTTTCATTTAAGGGTATTTGTTTTACTCAAAGGCAACTCATTAACATTTGAGGATGAGAAAAATTATTTTCTTTTGAAATGTAACCAGCCAGTACAGAAATGAAAGCTGGCAACCCTCCTGTCACAAGCCTGCATCCCTCAGCCTGTTTGCTTAATACGGAACAAAAGTGATCTTTGTACTTTAAGAAAAGAGAGGAAAGCCTCGCCCAAGCTCATATTTACATAGAAACACAGGAAAGCTGCTAAGGTTTAACATTTACTCGATTAACAGGATATACTCAGGGTTATGGTCAGTGAACCTGCGAGTACTGGTAAATAATACATTCTACTTTGCCATTTGCTTTTCCATAAGTAACCAGTTGAACAAGGCACTTTACAGCAAGACTGTAAAGTGTGGGAAGTTAAAGAGGACATATTGTGGTAATTTTCCATAATCCACAATCTGTAATACTTCATGGAGAAATACACTCTTGTTGGCAGATTACCATTCTTTCCATATTTTGAGATACACAATAACCAATTAGTTAATTTACAGTTTTGGGAATCATTAAATGATATCTTTACAAGAGCCTTTATCTCTTATCAATAGTCGTCTCATGTGCCCTCACCTGCACAGTTACTGAGAGCGAAGCCCACTCTCCGCTGGGCTCGGTCAAACACCACGTAGAAGCCCTCCATAACGGTAGCACCGATCACCAGGCCATTGGCTGACGACGACAACCCGAAACGAAAGCAGTCCAGCGTGCCGTCCACGTCTGTGATTGGCTGGATGTACAGCTGCGAGACGACAGAGGAGAATGAGTACCGAGGAGGGTTTGTGTCCCTCAGGGTGATGGGATGTTGTGTTTATCCAGGTACCTGAGGCAGGATGGTGATGCGGAAGGACTGGCTGGTGTTCGTGGCCCTCAGGTAGATGGATAGTTTGGGGAAAAACATCCAGGGCGTCTCTCCCTTCAACCAGCACGCATACTTGCTGCCATCCCAGAACCCTGATGAAAAGTCCTGGATCTGAACCAAAGAGAAACAACACCGGAACAGACAGAAACAGAAGGTCAGTTCAGCAACAACACATGGTTTCTGTTTCCTTTCATTTACCCACTTGGGATTCATCTGCAAGGTCCATTCATTAAAATGTTGCTTCAAGGTTCCAATTAACCTTGGGCTCTGTTTGTGTGCAGCTACAAAAATGTGAAAAGCAGCAGGAGGAGGAAAAACAACAGGCCTGCACACACACATGTTTTTTACAGCGGGGAAAACATGTGATCCTTCCCCTCAAAGCTTCTGCGTCCTTGAGCGCTGAGCGTGAGCTATCCTCCCCTGCATCGCTTCCCTCTGACAACACGTTTCATCACTTACCAGAGAGGTGCGTGTGATGGCGTCTACCACCGCATTGAAGACGTTGGCAGGAAGACGCAGCAGTGTCGTCCCGCTGTCGACTATAGCTTTATCCGTGTTGTACTGAAAGAGACGGAGAAGTGCAGTGTAAGAGCAGTTCAGTTCAACAGGCTCCTGAGGGGGATGTTATAACAGAATAACCCTCCAAACCATGGTATTACTCTTGATACAATCGACTTTTCTGCTTTAAGGAATGCATTAGTTTGAACTGTACCTCTCTGCAGTCCAGGTCCAGATTCTGGTCGCCCACCTCCAGCTTCAAAACCTCCACCTGATAGTACCACTCCTCTACGATGGGGGTGTACCACACAGATCCCTGATACAGAGCCGGCTCAGCCCCGCCTATGATCTGAGGAAGAACACAAATATGCGTCAAAACCATGGCAGCAAGTCAAAAATATTTATTTTCCTGGACCTCGAGGTAAAACGTCATGGATCAAAGAAAGATGTAGGAGAACTCATAAGGACTTCGGCAAAGACTTTCATAGTTCTAAGAAAATCTGATTACACTGACACTAAGTATATGTGAGTCTGCTGTGGTGTAACTCAAATGTTCTGAAGATGGATCAGTAAAGAAAATTACACTGTTGATACTTCACTCCGTGCATTATACTGTAACTAAGATGTTCATGCAGGCTTTAAATACATGGGTGAAAAACATCACTTCATTACCAAGAATTAGGGCTGCCCTCGACTAACGATTTAGTTCACCATAATGCAGCGTCCACACGGCAGCGTGCGTTGAAGCTTGCCAGCGGGCGTGTCTGAAGCTCGACCAACAACCAATCACATGAATCTCCCGCCCTGGACACACAACAAGCACGCGGTTTGATTGGCTAGAGCTTGTACTGGCATATGATTTGATTGGCTGACGCTTCCGTCGAAGCTTGAAAAGTTGAACTTTTCTCAACTTTTGAAGCGACGCTCCAACAATGCAGTTCGGCAAAGCGTGACATCACCCCATTCAAAGTGAATGGGAAGCTGCGTTGACACTTCAACGCACGCCGCCGTGTGGACGGGCCGTTAGTCATCAATTCAAGTGTTAAGTCGACACGTTCATGATTATTTTCACAATATTTCCTTTTTTTTTGGCTTCACATAATAGAATCAGTTCCGAGGCTGAGAAAAAACGTTGATTGACCATCATGATATGTTGTGTTAATTATAAATACATTTATTTTGACACATGCAAAGCACATTTTTGGTACAGCTGTTCAATGTCCACCCATTCTGCCATTAGCATTGTCGCTAATGGCAGAATTGCAGTAATCAGTATTAATGTGTGTAAGGACAAGCAGCACGTATGCATTTATGTATTTCAATTTAGAAAAAATAATATAGGCTACCAAAAGTGAAACAAAATGGTTGTCACAATGAGAATGGTTGCCCTCCTTTCCACTCGTATTTTTAGACCTAAATCTAAATAAGTATTATTTGTATTAAGTGTATATAAACCCTCTACAGTTTAAGATAATTCATAAACCCAAGCTCCCTGCCATGTGATCCATCTGCCTGAGTCAGTGGGTCACCTGCTGGAGTATTACAGTGACATACCTGCAACAACTACAACACGGATCAGCAGGATGCTATCTTAGCTTAATTAGCTCACCTCTAACTACACCGGGCCTGCAGGAGAGGAACCACACTGAGGAGGACACCAGCTTTTATGTTTTTAAGATCTAACAAAAGGTGTTTCTTAAACCAAATGGACGTGCTTGTCCTTCACTGCGAATGCGACCCAGGTATCCACCAACTTCCTTTTTAAACTAATGCACCAGCACTAACGAGGGTATGGCTTATTTGAAGTGAGTATATGTATGCATTTTTCTTGTTGCTCCGAGTTTGTATCTTGATGGTTAACTGCACTTATTGTGAGTTGCTATGTATGCCGTTGTGCAATTCTAAGATACCTTATATTCTGCTGGTTAGATTTACCTTTATTACTGCACAATTATTTCTTTATTTTTGCATTTCTCAATCACCATAATACTTAGTAACTTTAAAATGATGTAGTGAAGTTTACTTCCAATATGATGTTCCACAGACTCTTTGGGTCAGAGGTTTGTTCTTTGAGCAAACTTTACAGTCAAAGCTCTTTTTATGAAGTTATTAGATCATACCCAGCCCCTCCTGACTACTCACAAGACTGCCTCCTATGGGGTCCGCTGTGCTGCTGGCTGACAGCCCAGCACCGCACATCTGGAGGGAGAAGATGTCTGGGATTCCCAGCTGCTGCACCAAGGAGTCGAAGAAAGGCTCCACGGACGAGTCAGGCTACATGAGAGACAGTGTGAAATAATTAACTCATGTTATTAGATGTTACATTTTCCCTTGAAACCAGAGCCAAGTCTGCTCTCTCTCGGTTGCGATTGGTTAACTGCTTAAATAGGCCCCTTAGCCTATCACCTGCAATGTGTTGGAGCGCTAGCTAATTGAAGTTCTGATTGAAACGATATTCTAACCACATGTGTACGATGGTGTGAGGATGCTCTTCCTGCTGTTAGGTTTTCATGTCAGTGTTGTGTTATCATGTCATGCATGACCAGACGTCTCAGGAAGTTTAACCTGAGGAGATGGCAGCAGAACAAAGTGATCAGTGTGTGTTTATCTGCCCAGCGATCACTGGCATTTGGTCCTAAAAGTCGCTGTAGTCGGCACAGAATGAAAGAATGCATTGTGCCGGTTTATGCCATTACAGTTCCTTCAACATTAAATATCCAAAGCACAAGCTGGGCAAAGCAACTTAAACTGGAAATCTATATTAAAGAAAAACAAATCTTAATACGCCTTGCAGCTGAAAATCATAAACACAAAACTGTTTCTGTTGTCATGTGAAAGGTCTGTGACTACACCCGGATAAGATCTCAGTTTAAAAAAGTTATTCATGTTTAACAGCCAAGTGTGACAGCAGGAAGTCATGAAATAATTCAGAATTTACTTGAAAAAACCTGATTTGATCGAATCCCTTTTTGTTATGCTGTCTGTGTGCTCACTCTTAAGTTTTCAATGTGTTATTTACTTCTGCAAATAGACAAAATGTTGTAGAATAAACCTTACATGTTTTTTTTTTGGATGGTTTGACCAGTGCATTTGCAAATGACTCTTACCGTGGTGAATTTATACTGTCATGGTTGATTGTAAGTCACTTTTGATCAAAGTATCAGCTACTCTACATTTTTAAATCTCTTACCCGTGCCAGCATGGGGTAAGCCAGACCCAGGATGCCCTGCCAGTTGATCCCGGGGAGGAAGAAGCCTTCGGAGGACAGGATGACAGCGATGTTGATGATGAAGGTCCCGTTGGGGCCGTTGGGGATGGAGACGCGGTCGATGCCCAGTTCACCTTCCCAGTTTCCCTGCGTGTATCTGACACCCACAGTCCGGCCAACTGACTGGTATGTACTGGAGCTGAACACAGGGGCAGACATGAGAACAGTTATAAAGGCCTGTGGTAGGGAGCTAGAACGCTACATTTGAGGTATTCCGGCTTTGGGAGTAACAGATTACATGTAAAAGGATAACGCAATCAAGCTAACTGTATTCCTTTACAGTTACATCAAAAAGGATGTAATCAGATTACTGCTTCATTTCTTAAAGGTCCCATGTCATGCTTTTCTGGTTATTACCCGTCCCCTTGTGTGTTATGAAGGTTTTTATAAACGGTCTGCAGAGTCACAAACCCTCAAAGTACACCCTGGCCTGTAGCGAGTAAAACTCTAGCACAGAAAAGACTTGTCTGTGCTGCCCCAGAACGCCTCGTTGGAGATTTCTCTTTTTCCATTTGTTTCTTCCGGGAACCAAAATGGACCAATCCGCGGAGCTCCTCAAACACCAGGACCTTTAGCGTACATTTTCAACTAACGGGGAGTCCCATTGTCTTGCATAGAGCTCCCTGGTTGGTAATAGACGAGTTGGGATGGCGGAGAAATGCTTTCCGCAGACCCGTTCTCACAGCGTTTATAAACCGTTTTCTTACTCAATATCAAGCCACACTTATTGTTTTTACTTCGGCTGTGAGTGTTTGTGTGTGCTCAGGATGAGTTTCGCGCTGTCTCGCCGACCCGGAAACCACACCAGTTAGCCAGCTCACTGAGCAGCGAGCCTTGCAACCTCCCGACCAATCAGAGCACACTGCTAGAACTAACTCAAGTTGATGACATGATATACAATACAGAGCACCGGAAAAATAATAAACCAAATAAATGTAATAATGAATCTATATCTCCCGTCCTCATAGCAATACCATGTAACAATTTGTATGGAAATGCTACGGTGAAGATCATACAAGGTATACAAATAACTAAATTCAATATTGTGTGTGAGATATATCCAAAAGTGTGTGTGACTCACAGTGCAGTGTTGAAGTAGTGAGTAATGAATGGGTGTGAGGCTGCAGCCACGGCGAAGTTACTGCTGCCCGTATCCACCAGGATGTTCACCTGAAAAACACACAGTTATTGTTAACAGGGATCTGACTCCAACCCAACCCTCGCTTACACAGCTCCTCCTGAGACACAGGGTAAAGATAACTGCAGTTAGACATATTAATAGGAACACTTTAAGCTTTTAAAATGCCACTGAGATGGTCAGATGTGGAGGACATCAAGAACATTCACAGTAAATAAACTTATAAGGAAAGTCAACTGGAAATATTGAGGAGAGGAAATAATAAAGACACACAATGAAGACTATCAAACGTCCACAGCGGTGCCAACATGTTTGCTAAATAAACATCAGGTGCAAAAGAAAACACTGACAGTAGTACTGCACATAGAGATTGCAGTGTTACACAAAGTGCAGACATGACTATGAACCTCTGATTGAATTGCTCTCTAATGTGTGATCTATGAGACAAATGTGCCTGCCTCTGGTTACTGACATGCCTTTATGACCTCTCCAGCCTCCTGGTGTGTGTCATGCGCACAGTGGGGACCAGCTAACAGCAGTTGGGATAATGTTGCCTGCAGGCATTAAATAAATGAGCAGGAACTAATTAGCTTGCAGACTTCTGTCACCTCCTCTTCCGAGCAGGGGCCACATTTACACTCACATTCCTCACCAAAGCTAATGCTCCGGAGCTGACTGATGACTCAACAACAAAGACATCTATACTGAGGCTCTTCAGTAATGTCACATGACACAGTCTATGGATGTACATAAAAAAACACCACAAAAAAAGCGTTCATTCACAAAATGTTCCCGCTACAGTCAATCTGTCAGGGCGATCTGCCTCTTTGGCTCACATTGTTTTAGAAAGACCAGAACTGCAGGCAGGAAGTCGTTTATTTAAAACTTTGAAGTGTTTGACAAGCAAGGAACAAGGAATTCCAACAATTAAATGAAGACTTCCTCAAGTTAAGTTGCTTGAGGCTATCAAACCTTCAAACCATGTCTTATTAGAGCCTGCTCATCTTTACACTGCACTAAATACCATGTCATTTAGTCGATGCTTTTATCCAAAGCAACTTGAAGGAAATGCAATCCACCGAGAGGATACACATTCAGAACAGCAAGAACGAATCAGTCAAACCATTTTAAGTGCTATGGCATTAGCTTTAACACTAGAACCACCAAGGGTCGCTGCATACCTAAAACCGCCAACTGTACCAAATGTCCGCTAATTAGAATGCATTGATTTTCAAGGTACAATGTTCTTTTATTTGTCATGCTAGAACACAGTGAGTTTTGATCGCAGACTGATGAAACTTATACCAATAGAATCTGTGGACTCTCAGCTTTCATATGATATCTAGTGTGAAGATAGCATGAAGTATAAAATATCGCTAAAAGTGTCTCTCCATCTATCTATATATAACTACAGTGTTTCCCCTAGGTTTACTGCTTTGGGGGGGGGGTGCTGTCTGAGCGGGGGGAGCTCACAACTTAAAATCAAAGCGTTTAGTTTATTTAATAAAAGAGCACATGTTCAATGTGAAAAGTGACAGTAGATATAGATTAGTTGCAATTTGGTGCTATATATATATTAATTTAAAAAAAATTATAAAAAAAAGAAAATAATTTATTTTTATTTTTAAACACCTTGAATTTCAGGGGGGGCGCGGGGCTCCGTTGGCGGGGCGCAGCGCCCCTCCAAGACAATGGTAGGGGAAACACTGAACTATATATCTATCTCTCTATAAGGAACCACAGTAAACAACAGGCGTTTATGTTATCGTGCGAGATCAATAGCCCGAGAATCACTGCATTTTCTATAAGGTAAATATTACCCGCTGGCGCTGATGGGTATAAATGGCAATTTGGCAATTTTTTCAATCTGACTTCATATTGACCATTTTTAACAACAGACGGTGCTACACAACACACTTTTAGGAAAAGTCACAGACTGGAAGACTTGAATATTTCATTGAAAAAAAGTTACATACAATCAAGAAACAGCTGCGGGTAAAATGTACCCGTTGGCGGTTCTAGTGTTAAAAGAGCATCTTTGGACCAGATACTTGCAGAGGCCCTATTATGCTTTCTTTGAGTGTTTTCTTCCCTGTAGTGTGTTATAGGTTTTAGTGCATGTAAATGGTCTGCAAAGGCTAAAATCCCTGTGTTCCCTCCAGAGGGAGTTTCTCTCCCACACACACTCACCCCCCCTGCCTGAAAAAGCCTCCATTGCATTCCTTTATTTACTTTCGGAACATATTGACATCACTATATAATACTCACGCTTCTATTGGCTAGCGCTCCAACACATCGTACGTGATAGGCTAAGGGGCGGGACATCTCTAAGCGGTCGATTAATCACAACAGAGCTGGCCAGCTAGCCAATGAGAGCAGACTGGGCTCTGGTTTCAGACAGAGGGTGAAAAGAGCAATTGTTAAAATGTTTAGATTAGCTGAAGGCCTGATATCAATGTGGAACCTCGAAAGTAGCACACATAATTCCTTGTAACCCACAGCCACTTTGATACTCAGGTGTGCATGAAGTCATTAGAACACAATAAGGTAAACAGTAATTATCAACAATGTGTCATCAAGTTGGGCACAGGAAGCCTCAGTTGGCCGGTCTGTGGGAGTCAGGCTTATCAGTTCATCCTCCTTGGCCGGGCGCGAGGCCAATCACTGTGACTGTGCCATGGAAACCTTGCAGATGGCATCCCTCCAATCACGCCAGGCCTGAACCGGACAAACAGGCCAGATACTGAAACCTTGTGGTGAGGGAGGGGAAGCAGGGGCATTTCCTTATCCCCACACGTCTATCTTTTCTATTCTTCTCCTATCTTCCCTCAGCTCGGCTACTGAGCCTCGGGCAAATCCCCACCCCCGCTGCAGATGAGCGCTCGCTGTTTAATTGGCAGAGGCTCCATGGCGGCATTGTGCATCTGCTACCTGTTTGTACCAATTAGTAGATGTGAGGCTCTCCATTCGACACCTCAGCCTGGCTGTGCCACACGCTAACAGATGTCGCAATTACAGGCTCATTTGAATAGAGCCTCATTTAACACCGCGGCCCTGTTATCACATCATCATTTAGATGGAATAATATTGAGGGAATAACTCAATAGAATTGAGTTACAGGACATTTTGGCACGGTATAACCAAATCCAACCAAAGTGAGCTCTGCTGGCATGAATAACTGATGAGGAAGAACGATCTGGAAAACATATGTAACTGCGGTTGTTTTGATTGATATTAAAGTTGCGTTATGATTCACAATATGAGGGAATGACCATTTTTACATCAGTGTTATTATTTTCATTGAAACAAAATATTAAAATGATTATGTGGTGATTGTTTGCCAGTCTCTACCACACACAATTATTATTTTTGTCTATATGATTTGTATGCCGGGAAATCCCTTCCTCATCACGGTACAAAATCCAGAGTGCTATTTTCACACATATCTCGCCCTTTAAGAAATATCCCGTTTTCTGTGATGTGAACATTGATCTGGTCCATATTGAGATTTCAATGATATTCTAAATAATTGTTCAACACTTTAAACTGATATGAACGTTTCACTCTAACTATACATGACTATAAAGCTGGAAAATATGAGGAGGAATATCCAAAGGTGAAACCATTTAATTCACCCATTCTTTAAATTATAACTCCAATACATTGTGATGTATAGCTCATAGCATTTTCTCCGTGACAGAATTAACGCAAAACTTGTGCTTCTATTGGCTAGCGTTGCAACACATTGTACGTGACAGGCTAAGGGGCGGGACATCTCTAAGCATTAAAACATGGAAACATGTCATAAAATACTAATGTGAACCTGAAAATACGGGCACGTCCAAGCGTTTTTTCATGCTATGACAAGTAAAAAAAACACAACAAATGTGTTAATAATGTTATTTTTATGTACTTATTTTGTAACTTAAAGTGGACCTATCATGCTATATTTGAATAATATATTGTAGGGCCATACCTACAGTATATAAAACATGTCTGTGAAGTTTTTTTTTGAAAATACCAAACAACTCATGTATTTTAGCCATGCCTCATTTCGCTCTATTTGCTCTATTCCAGCCCTGTTTTTGCAAAGGCTGATTCTGTGAGAAGTCTTCTTCGGCAGACTACATCGCCACCTACAGGCCTGGCATATGTACTACAGCGTCTCCAGCGCTTTCGAGCGGTCTCTCATTCCCCTGATAGGTGGAGAGTTGCCCATATAGGCGGAGCACCCCTTTTCTGACGTCAGAACAATTCAAATCTCTATCAGATCCGTTGCAGCCCCGTTTTTAGAGATTTGGGTATGGAGGAAAAGAGAGAGTTTTCTGACACTTGGTGAGTTCCCTGACCGGGGACACATATTCATGTATAAAAGACGTACAAAAGTGCATTTTGCATGATAGGTCCCCTTTAAGATTTGAGTTGCTAAATAAAATGTGATTTGTTTGAGTAAGTTAGTAGCATTATCATGATTTGATCATTTCATGTACTGGGGATTAATCATGAAAGAGTCCAATTATAATACATGTGCTGTTATTTATCTGTTTACTGTTGATAGCTATTAAGAAACCACACAAGTGCCTGGTTAAAGGCCATAGTTTAAAGTTAATCGTATTCATGCTTTTAATGCTGTCTGAGCATTATCAACAGGAATTCACTTTTGCTTTGAACAGATTATAGTTTGGAGAAGTTCCTCTTATAATAAGCAAACAGTGTTGTTTGATCAGAACAGCAGATATTAGGGCATTGTTTCCAAAATACAACTAAAGGTTGGTTGTGTGGGAACTTTGCTTCTGCATTATCCTCTTAGTGGTTGACACAGGGCAGGCACCACCGATAAGCCTCTGAGAGCCTGAGAAACTGAGCACCCAACGTCTTAGACACTGTGATCTGTTTAACCTGAGAAGAAGAGAAGCCATTAATGAGATAATTCACCTTTGGCTTAATCTCCTTTTTAAACACATCTTCTTACAACATGCAGCTTTAAACCTACAACACCCTGAAGTGTCATGTATTTTAATACCGACGGGAAAATCCCTCTGCCGACTCTTCCGGGACCATTTAGTCCTTCTTAAATCATTAATATGATCTTGTTAGGCATTTTACATAACACGCAGAATGAATTGTAAATTAAGAGATGGCTTTAAGGAAAGAACATGAAACCAGGACTAATCATACTTCCTCACTTTTTAGCTCTGTATTTACATACACATTGGATTTAATTGCCTGCCTATCGACTACAGATTAAAATGAGCTCATTAACTAACTCGGTTACATTTATATTGGGGTAGAATGTTGGTTAAAGTGCACGGTCACTCACTGAATAGTAAATATAATTTAAAAAGCACATGTGCAATCACAAGAAAATAGGATTCAACTATGCCTTCAGGGCTGTTTTGCACAACTGTGGAGCTCTTTGCTCCCTGGGAGCCTCATAATCCCATCAGCTGCCTGCTTAGAAACAGAGGTCCTCACAGGCAGCATCATGTGAGTGCATGTGAGCGGGCTTTAGTCTACCTACAGACCCCAGGGCTGTAAAGTCCAGCTGCAGCAGCCCACAGCCATGTTTCCAGACAGGCCTCCAAATAATCAACTGATTTTATTTATTTAAGTGTTAAATTGTTTAATCTTCCCATGACCCAAGTCCTTGTTCTAATATGTGGGTCATATCAAACAGCCATTTAATAGGCCTTGAAATTAAATATCGAAAATGGCCTAAATAGGAAGCCCTGGGGTGAAACATGTGACCCCTTCAAACGGTCACATGGTGGACGGCCCCGTTCACACACAGCAGACAGAACATGCCAGACAAGGGGCTGAATATAGCCAGTGGGGGAAGAAGTACTCAGGTCTTAAAACTTAAATTAAAGTGTAAAAATACCCTGTTACAAGTGAAAGTCCTGTTAGTTAAGTAAAGATATTAGCAGAGAAATATACTTAAAGAGCAACTTGCAGGTTTTTTTTTTTTTTTACTACATTTATGCTTAACCTTGCCTGAAAATTACAATTAAAGAAGTTAATGCAGGATTTGATATGTTTTACAAGACATAAGGGCAGGAATGGAGCCGTTTTGAGTTCTGCTACTAAAAACTGCTTTTTTTTTTACGTCAAGCGCGTCATATTACGTCACATGGGGGAGCAACTTTCTCGGACTCCTTGTCTGCCCAATCCGCGGTAGTAGTTGGTTTGAGCGGTTATGATTTAGTGAGCTGGTATTTTTACATTGCATTTCACAATTTGTAATCATGGTGAGCTGGAGTTTGTGCAGGTTGCACAAACTCCAGCCTGTCAGGACATCGAGTCCACAGTTTCCCCATGAATAGGACCGGAGCTAGCGTTCGTTCCTGGGTGCGTTGTGCGAGGTGCATCCACCTCCCTGCAGCACATACTCTCCACAGCTGAGGCCTATCAAACTAAACGTTTATCAGGAAACCGTATTACATCTCTCCTCCCCCGTCATGAATGTGCGTCTGCTGCTGTGGGGAAACTACGGAAACTACAGTTTTCTATAGCGGACTACAACATGGATGTATAATAAGAAGGAGGGACTACTGTAAACTCATCTCGAGACTCTGCACCGTGCTCTGATGCTGTTGCTTTATGCTTTATGAACGTGGACAACAGAGAAACATATTCTTCATGACCAAAGTTGGAATTGAAATAAAAAAGGAAAGTGAATCTTATGCTCGTCGTCACCCTCTCCCTCCGGTCCACATTAATACAAATGATCCCAATACGTATGATTGTATGAACTATGAACATATCTTAAAATCAATACAAATGTATTTATTATAAACGTTGGTCCTTAACATCTATCACTGTGTATATCACCATTCAAACATCTTTTAAAAGTTGAACAACCCCACACAGCTCAGTGAAATGTTGACTTTATTTGATCATTTCAGTAAAAACTAACGTTCATATTTCTCTCTTTGATTATAATACTGATGAACGTTCAGAACAAAGCACTTTGGCAACTTACCACATACGTTTTAAAATGCTTAATAAGCACCGTAACGTTCATGATATAATTTCTCGGTCATAATCGGTTGTTTCCGTGAACGGCCGACTGTTGAGTGACGGCAAATGCTGCGGCTGCAATGCATTGTGGGGCAGCATTTTCTCCTCTCCTTTCATCAAGGGAGGTCCAGTGGTTCCTAAGCTAAAGGAGGTTATAAAGGAAGTTTGAAACCTCCTTTCCTATCATCTAGAGAATTGGAACGGCACTTATCATGGCTGCCACTGACGTACTTCCGGGTCATTTCACTTGGTTAGGAAGGTTCCTAAGCTAAATGGACTATTGGAATGCAACCGTGGTCTCTTGGACGCCTAGCAGGCTCATAATTATAATTATATGCATTCGAAAATATATTTTCAACCTCTTCTGTGTCAAAACTAGCAATAGGCTTGTTTGAGACACATTGCGGCTCGCCTCGAAAGTAGACGAGAGTAGCCGATCGCAGCCGGGGGAGGTGTCAAAAAGCTCGTCTTAAGTCGGACAGCTCGGAGTCGGAGTCGGCTTGACTGGCTGGGTTTGCAATGGCGGAAATTGCGTTGGCGTTTTTCGTTGCAGATGAAGTGGATGCAATAGAAATCCCACAATTATTATATCACTACAAATGAATGACTCAAGTGTCAGTTCATTTTGAAACAAATCAGTACAAGGGGGGTTGAATACATGTAAAAGACAGAACCACTTATTACTTTTCAAAACTACTTCCGTCAGTGGTCTTGACAAGTTTGCATTTATAAAGAATGCACAAATGTATATTCGTTAATGTCAGATATGTACTAAGTAAATGCATTTGTTCCTGCTCAAGATTAGATTCAACTTTATTGTTATTGCACATATTACAGGTACTGAGACAACGAAATGCAGTTTAGCTTCTAACCAGGTGCAACAAGCAGTAAAGTGAAAAGTAATGTACACAACCTACAGAATAAAAATGAATTGAATGATGAATAAACAGTGAGGGGTATGAATACACTAGATATCAGCCTGTGAGCAGCATGAACAGTGTGTATGAATATGCTAAGATATATAAAGTATGAAAATGGTAAGCAGTATAGTATAAAATATAAAGATATTAATTTCATGATGATAAACATTGTGGAACAATGATGAAAAATGGGAATGGATGTGGCGACGTAAAACTGACACAAAACAACAACAAACTTTTGCCAGCCAATTGGAGAGTTTCATCAGCAGCACGTGGTAAAAATCACCAATGAGCGCTCAGCTCGAGATACCAGCGAGACGTTTCCCATCAAGCATTTCGCTTCTGCAGCCCGTGGAGAGCAACTGCGCCAACTCGCCTCGCCTCGCTCTCAAGGCTGCGGGCGTCTTTGTCCCGCGAAATTTCAAAGTCTCATGTGGGCGGGCCTCCAGAGCAAGTCGGACAAAATGACTAACCATCATGCAACGCACTAGCAAGACGTTGATCGCAACTGCGCAGGTCTGCGCAGGTCTTGCTTGTCTCAAACAAGCCTATTGTGATCCATGTTTATTAATACGTTAGACCGGCTGCTCTCCCCCATGTTACGTCACACGCGGGAGGTCACGTGGGGAGGCTTTTTTTATGCGGAAGTAAAAATGTCTTACAAAAACGACGCCAGATGTCACTGTAGTGTATATTTCTGTATATTTTTTTGAAAATCTAGTGTATACATCATTTTCCTACACATTTATTCACTGGTGTGTCTAACCTGCAAGTTGCTCTTTAAGTGCCAAGTTTAAAAGCGCTCACTATCAAAAGTGGCCATTTCGGGAATACTATGTATGTGTGTGATGCATTAATATGTTAATCATTTTATTTTTGCAACTGGTAAAGGATTTCATAACTTTTACGACTATGTATATGCCACCTGTATCTCCAGCTATAATAGTACATCATAATGTTTTAGTTGATTTAATGTTTGTCTTAATAATATAAACCTTCTCCAGTCTCTAATCCTGTAAACAATAAATGTAGTGAGTAAAAAGAAATGTAGTGGAGAAAAGGTATAAAGAAGTAGCATAAAATGGAAATACTGAGGTCAAGTACATGTAACTCAATAATGTACTTAAGTAAATTGAGTTAGTTACTTTCCACCACTGCTAACACATGAGCCCGTGTAAATACAATGACTAAAAAAAGAAAATAAAGAGTAAAGGAATATTTAAACACACAAACACACTTACAGAGGTAGAAAAAGTACTCAGATATTGTACTTAAGTAAAAGTAGAAGTACCAGAGTTTAGGAATACCCAGTTTTCCTGCTATCAAATTGTTACTTCAGTAAAAGAAGAAAAGTATTAACAATAGAACATACTTAAAAAACCAGAAGAAACTCATTATAGTGATTGGCTAATTTCAGAATCATATTTATTTAGATTATAATGTATTGATGCGTTTTCCAAAGCTGGTAAATGTGGAACACATGTATATTACTGTATTTTCTGCTCGGTAGCATGTGTATTTACTCCATGTGTAACTAAAGTCTTATTTTAGTGTTGATCATATTGTTTATCATTGATCCATATCTACAAAGTACCTACAACACATCAATGCATCAACAATTATAATCAACACATACATGAGATATGATTCTGAAATGGGCCAATCTGCATAATGAGTACTTTAAGTATATTTAGATGCAAATACTTTTGTACTTTTACTTGAGTAACATTTTGAATGCAGGACTTTTACTTGTAACAAAGATCATTCCTACACTCTGGTACTTCTATCTACTTTTACTCAAGTACAAGATCTGAGTACTTCTACATTAACCTAAGTACAGGATCTGAGTACTTCTACTTTAACCTAAGTATAAGATCTGAGTACTTCTTCCTCCACTGGTGATAACATTACCTTTTGCCCAGGAGTACCAAGAGCCATCTCGATGTAGTAGCCTCTCCCAGAGTCTCCCTGCAGGTTGTTCACCATGTCCAGGAAGTCCACGGTGCCGCTGGGGTCCGAGGCCAGCGAGAGGCCGTTCCCATCGGTCCCATCGACCGTCAACACCACCCTGCGACTCAGCTCCGAGGACACGTTCAACTTCCCCGGGTAAATCTTCAGCGGTATCGCGAAGTAACACTTGGACACGCCGAAGTACAAACTAAAAGCTAATATGGAGATAAAAGTAGAGTATGCCATGGTGGTGTTGCTAATATTAAGGTGATAACGGGCATAAGAGAAGACTTTCCTAAAGTTTGCTCCTCAGTTTGGCCATCATGGAAACGCCTCCACTGTGGTGACCGACATCATGAAAACGCTGCCTCTCCGCCGTCAAGAAGAAGGGAAACACTCAGACATGTTAACACAGTTTGACTGTTTGACTGTCACTGTTTGACTGCAGTCGATAAACTTATTCTCCGGGATGTTTCGCCTCCATAAATGTCACTCCTCCTCCAACTGTGTCAAGCTATCTAAAACTGAAAACACCACTTTCGGTTGTTTACACTTTCAAAGTAAGATAGATACTAACGATCTTAACGGAAACATTAACGAAAGCTTTGAAATGAAGAGCAAAGGAGAAACACGATTTATATTGTAGGCTATATTAATATACATCTTCGAAAAACTTGAGTATTTCCATGTTATGCTAATTTGTACTTCCACTTCACTAAATTGTAGTACAATATTGTTGTATTGTGTATAGTCTTTTATTTTGAAGGCACAGTGGTGTAGACGCTCCTGTTTTCACAATTTCCGGTTGTAAATTAACTGCCGTATAGGTGAGCAACTTCCCACCATAGTAACTTCAATTGATGTAAACACGCCGGTAAGGTAAGTTTTCTCACAATCGCGGATATGTGTGTTTCACTTGTTAACAGTGTTTCCAAAATTAGACATTGTTGTTGAACACACCTCTTTTTATTGCATTTAATACTAGTTTAAATACGTTTTATTAATATTTTTGATGGAAACATTTGCTTATTTCTTCAATAACTTCCAGGTCATGTGACCGATTCACTCAAAATCAGTGCTGGATCAAATAACTACACTGACTGAATAGGACACACCTCTTTTTATTGCATGTTAACACTCTAAATATTTTTATATTCATATTTTGATGGAAAAATTAGCTTATTTCTTCAACACCTTCCAGGTCATGTGACCGATTCGCTCAAAATCAATGTTGGGTTAGGGTTAGGGTTAGGAAAATACACAAGAAGAGGAACAATTTCCAAAGCCTTAACCAGTGGTGTCAGCAATTATTATTACACTATGTTAAGACAGACACCAATAGAGGAAATAATGGCTGGTAACATAAGCAGAAGCCTCACCAATGACGTGTTAAAGAAAATATCCTCTGAAGTGAAGAAAAGTGCAAGGCTCCACGATCACATGATGCTTGAATTCATGTTGACTCAAAAAATAATCAAAGAGAGCAGCAGTCATGCATCATCAAAAGGCTATCTTCAGCACCTACAAATTGATCCGTTTGCTGTACATTTATACACAGATGCTGGAATAAAGATATTGACTGACCACTTGAAAAAGCCAACACCTACGACTCTCTACCTTGATGCCACAGGCAGCGTGATACAGAAAGTTCCTGATCAAAATAAGCAGGTCTTGTATTATGCTTTGGTTTTGCCCGGTGTGAAGCTGACCGTTGAGCGGCCCAGACCAAGCAAGGAGGCAGAGGCAGAACGTCCAAAAATATAACCCGACGTGGGCATTTATTAAAATATGAACACATTACACACAGCCTCAATCCTGCTGCTGCTGTTCACGTGAGCCCAGCCTGCAGCCACCAGGATCTCACACACACACACTCCCTGCCCCTAACAGACAGGGAAACAGAGCCTAAATACCCACACACACTAATCAGCAACTAGACACAGGTGAGGGGGGAGGAGACAACACAGGGCACCAGGTGCACACAAACCTTTAATAAATACTATCTCAATAATTAGTATTTAAAATGTGCAAATATGCCATACCAAACGGTACTGTGCAATCACGCTAATAAAGTGCAAAACTGTTCACTAAAGTGCTGAGTTACCAGGCCCGAAGCCGTCACCTTCGTCACACCCGGAATGGGTAAGGATAAGCCTCCCTTGCCTGTCACAGAACTGATCACCAACAGCCATTCCATTCCATCTATTTCCCATTGGCTCATGGAATTTAAAAGAAAGTTGTCTTACATAACAAAAAGAAAGATAGCACAGGTTGAGACAGATTATAGTTGGGCTCTGATAAACAGTGTGCTTCTGTCTTTTAACAGGGAAAATATGTCAGTGTACCTTGACAGAGTATTTGAGATAGTGTCTGGACAAACTGAACTGATTCTTAACTTCACTGTGCTGCATCTGTGCTCTGCTCATATCATGAAGGCTGTGTCACAAGCATTTGGCAAAACAACTGTAGACAGAGGCACACAGGAATATGCAACATTCTGTTTTGCGTACATCCTGAACTGCACAAGTATGCAGGAAGCCCTTGATGTTTTTTATCGTATGTGTGTGCTTTTTGATGCAGAGGAGTGCATTCATTCGGTGAAACGGAGCTAAATGTACCTCGACGAGTGCATTTTGCAAACTCGGGACTTGAAACTGGAGGAAAGTGGACATGTAATGGGAGAGGAGGAAAGCAAAATGGAAACAAATGCTCATAGCATTATTGGAAAGTCCCCTTTTACACAAGCTTTTCAAGTCAGGCGGGACCAAGCAGAGTGTGACATTCTCTCTGACGATGCTGTTCATGTAAAAAACCACTACCTCTGTCCTGGTGTCATTGATGCACTGTTAAAAAACTACATGGGGATCTTCCCATTGTGGAGTGGTTTGTTGCTTGGGGATCTGTCGCGACATAGAAAAGGTACCTCTAAAAAAGATGGAAGTCATAAAACCAGGGATACCAACTGCCATGTTGAGCTCTGGTTTGGGTTGGTCAAACACTCCATCCTTTAAAAAAAAAGTACCTGAGACCAGCTGAGTTCGTCTCCAAAATGTATGCCTCAATACAAGGAAGATATATAGAGCACATTGAGCAACACAATCTGCCAATGCATATTCTAGACAAAAACTTTGGACATCCTAGCAGGCCAGATGATGACCACGTGGAACAAGCTGGAAAGTTCTGCTGGTCACACCAAGTCCAAGTCCAAGTACTTCAATCCACCAAAAACACTACCCAACCCCAAGAGCACACAAAGGTGAAGAAAAGAAAAGTGGACCAACAGGAAAAAGACGCACAGGGAAATGTGAGTTTCTCTAAGACTTACTATGTGCAAAGTGTGTAAATTGTTCTCCAGCATTTTAATTGTAACAATGGAATAAGTAAATATTGTCAGAAAGTAAAGCATGGACTAAATTGGTAAAGAGTGAGGTGAAGGACAAAGGACATGAAGTATTATAACCCAAGATGATTAGGTGCATGTTGTAGGGGGAGAATATGAAGATGAACAATGTAAATACAGCTTACAAACTTCTAACAGAAACTAGATTTCCAAATCAGACTTTAAACTGCAATTACAGTTTCTGTTCCTGAGCAGCCTGTTTAATATCATTTAGTGAAAACTCTAAAAGGGACTGAGGTTAAATGCATAAACATGGACAGTTTAATGATATGTTGTGTATGTAGCTTTGATGGTGCATATACAAAAACAAGGCCTTCACCCAAACATTCAAGATTGTTAACCCTCTGGTGTCATTCAAGTGCACTACTCTAATTAGTCATTCGGGACAACAATTTCCAGAGTGATACCGGAGGGTTAAAAGATTCCTCAAGTGTCCATATTAAACAGACTGCATCTATTTCCCCTCAATCCTAACTTGCAGTTGACCTGGCTGTGGGAAAAAAAGGACACAGAGATGGTCGTGGCAGTGCTCCCCTCACAGATGAAAGGACGCATCTTGCTTATCCGCCACTGTGAGCTATGCTGACTTCGACCCCACCAGTGGTTGACAGGGGAGGTACTACATGTTTCAAGTGTCTGAAGTTTCACTCTACACTGTGTTATTTTCTTTATCTAGCATTTAACGATTTCTGCCCAAAATGTCTAGATACTTTTGTCAGTCACAAGATTCTCAAAGTTGCAGGAAATGAAAGTTCAGTATAACTGGGAATATGCATTAATTGGCTAATTGTATGATCTTTTTTGCCAGGTAATTGAAGGCGTGTTTCATGTTGCTGCAGACAAATTCGGCATTGTGAACAAAATGTACTTGCTAAATCACTACACAGCAGGTGTCATTTTGTTCGGGGACAGAACTCAGCTAACATCTCACCGTTTACCGAAGGTAATGTGTGTGGTCTGTGTATGTTTATGTGTGTGGTGTGTTGTGTTTGTGCATGGTGATGCTGTAGGAGGAAGTAGGTGTGGATTTGATTTGTGGGCTCACACATTAGGTACATGGAGTGAAGCAATGGCTGAGGTCTTAAATAGGAAATGAGCTGAGATTATTTTACTTTATCCTCTATGAAACTATACTCATTAGTTAAATCACCTGATAAATCTACTTACTATTGAATTCCCATACCAACACTTGTTTTAAGCACATCCAATGAATGGCACAAGAACATAATTGTCAGACTAATGTTGTTGTTATTTTTACCTTAGCCTTCAAGTTTGTTTTAATCCTTTATTTGATGCCATTATAGGTAAACTTTGACAACTATGAAGCTGTCCTGTCCTTTGTACTTGTCAACATCAACCACTGGAAGTTGCTGGTTTGTAATTATTTTGTCATTGTATTATTTCTGTTAAAGCACAAGACTTACATAGTGAAGCTAAAAATATTTTTTGATGAAAAGTGCTTTTACTTTTTTTGTTCTCTCACAGTACATTCATGCCAACACCAGCACCGTATTCCTGGTGGATCCAGCTCAAAGCATCAAAGAGCTTGATGACTCCGAACATGCTGCCAAAAGAATACAGTAAATCAAAATTCAATAGATATTTGAAAATTCAAGTAAAAACTATATTTAAATGTAAAAAATGTGTCACATTTAGTTACATTCATACTCACAAACAGCATTGAAAGCATTTTAAACAGTCTGATACAGTCTGTGTTCAGACAGTGATATCTATAGCTGACCTGTGGCTGCCCCTTATATAAATAAATGGTCATATGGTGAATACAAACAGTATGAATTTCTGTTACATTATCTTTAGGAGCCACATAATTAGAAATGTAAAGTGTGTTAACATGATCCTTTCTCAGGGAGTACTTCAGGATGAGGAGCCACAGCATAACAGACTGGGTGGATGTTAAGTGGAAGGGAGGCGTTATGGGCCACCCACTTCAAAAGGATGGATGGAGCTGTGGTGTCGTTGTTGTGAAGGTGAGCTGAAGAGATTCTGTTTTCATCCAGTTAACAAGCAGAGTTTTTAATGTGAAAGACAGTTTAATGCAAGGGCGGATTAAAAAAGCTGTCAAAAGTAGTTGTTGACCGATAAAGGTTTTTTAAAGGCCGATGCTGATCCCCATAATATTTAGCAGGCAGGTTGGCCAATGGACAATATACAGTATAATGCCAATATCATGTT